AAGTATCACTATGAACAAAGTTAGTGGAGGTGATGGGATTTCAGCCGAGCTATTCCATATCTTAAAAGATGATGCTGTGAAAGTGCTGCACTCAATATGCCAGCAAATTTGGAAAACTCAGCAGTGGCCACAGGACTGGAAGTTGTCAATTTTCATTCCAATCCCAAAGAAAGACTGTGCCAAAGAATGTCCAACCTACCACACAGTTGCACACATCTCACGTGCTTGCGAAGTAATGCTCAAAATTCTCCAAGCCAGATTTTGATAGTATGTGAACTATGAACTTCCAGATGTTCAAGCTGGATTTAGAAAAAGCAGAGGAACCAGAGACCAAATTGCCAACATCTGTTGGATCATAGAACAAGCAAGAGAGTTCCAGAAAATTATCTACTTCTGCTTTGACTACACCAAAGCCTTTGGCTGTGTGGATCACAACATATTGTGGAAAATTCTTCAAGAGATGGGAATACCAGACCACCTTACCTGCCTCCTAAGAAATCTGTATGCAGGTCAGGAAGCAACAGTTAGAACCGGACATGGAACAACAGACTGGTTCCAAATTGGGAAAGGAGTACATCAAGGCCGTATGTTGTCACTCTGCTTATTTAACTTATATGCAGAGTACATCATGCGAAGTGCCGGACTGGATGAAGCACTATCTGGAAGCAAGACTGCCAGGAGAAATACCAATAATCTCAGATACACAGATGACACCACCCTTATGGCAGAAAGGGAAGTGGAACCAAAGAGCTTCTTGATGAAAGTGAAAGAGGAGAGTGAAAAAGCTGGCTTAAAACTCAACATTCAAAAAGCTAAGATCATGGCATCTGGTCCCATCACTTCATGGCAAATAGATGGAGAAACGATGGAAACAGTAAGAGACATTATTTTGTGGGGCTCCAAATCACTGCAGATGGTGACTGCAGCCATGAAATTAAAAGATGCTTGCTCCTTGGAAGAAATCTATGACCAACCTAGACAGCATATTGAAAAGCAGAGACATTACTTTGCTGACAAAGGTCTATTTAGTCAAAGCTATTATTTTTTCCAGTAGTCATCTGTGGATGTGAGAGTTGAACTATAAGGAAAGCTGAGCGCTGAAGTATTGATGCTTTTGAACTGTGGTGTTGGAGAAGACTCTTGACAGTCCCTTGGACTGCAAGGAGATCAAACCAGTCCATCCTAAAGGAAATCAGTCCTGAATATTCATTGGAAGGACTGATGCTGAATTGAGGCTCTAATACTTGGGCCACCTGATGAGACGAACTGACTCATTGGAAAAGACCCTGATGCTGGGAAGGATTGAAGGCAGGAGGAGAAGGGGATGGCAGAGGATGAGATGGTTTGATGGCATCATTGACTCGATGGACACGAGTTTGAGCAAGATCTTGGAGTTGATAGACAGGGAAGCCTGGTGTGCTGTAGTCCATGGGGTCACAAAGAGTCGGACAGTACTGAGTGACTGAACTGAACTGAATAATTTTATAGCTCTGTCATTTCCGATGCCTGAGTATAACAAAGACAATGTAATTTGGGATATAGAGGAAAACTTTTGATTTCTTGGATGGCTTAACTGGTGAAATTTATTCCTCAATTACTTAAAAGAATCAGAATTCCTCATGAGGGAGTACTTGTTCCAACAAAAGTTTAGCAGCAGTGGTTGCAATGGCCCTTTTTAAAGGGAAAGCTTCAAGTCAGTTAAGGAACAGACATGGTAGTAAGAACATATTTAAAATCATGAGATTTAGGAGATGAATGAAATCAAATTGCCAATGAAGGAAAAGGTCTTGAACATATGTATATTAACAAAATTCCATAGGTAAATGATAAGAATTTCCAGTAGAAACCCACTGACTTAGAATACCTGAACTTAAATTTTAAAAAGTAAAATTGCAACCAAATTAACATTTTAAAAATAATTGAAATTATGACTGATAACATTGTGCTGTTGTTCTTTAATATTGGGCAAGGCAGGGCAGCACTGGGATTCTGAGAAATAAAAGCATAGCATGGACAGTGAGGGCACTGACAAATCTCTAAGAATTTTATATGGTTTCTGAAATATTTATGTAATTAACATTTTACCCATAAAAATTAGGAAATGCTTTGCATTATTATTATCATTATTTATTATTATTGGATTAGTGCTTCTCATGTAATTTACATAATATAAAGCATATTTTATATTGTACAGTATAAAATACAAATATACAACTCACAAGACAGCTGTTTTTATTAAATTAACAATATTAGACTAGCTTTGTTTGCCAAGGATTTACCTAAATTCTTTGAACTTGAATTTTTAAAAATTCATGTTAGCTTATAAAAAATTCTTATAAAAGAATACTTTTTTCTTCTGTACATTCAAAGTACTAGAAAAATTTTAATGAGTTTTAGAAATATTTAATTTATATAAATGTTTATTTATCCCTAAGTCAACTGGAATAAAGGATAAGTGATCTTGTATGTTTACTTGGTAATTCTATTCACAAGTAAAAAGATATTACACATATATAACATACACATGTACATAAATGTCCAGATAGACTCAAATGGAGATCTTATGGCTTGAATTCTAAAATTTCAGCCGTGTGTCAGGTATAAACACAAATTAAAGACTCATTGGTTTGTATAAGAGCTGGTTCTCCTTTTTGCCACACTTTATATTTTTATCAGAATTCTGTTTCTGGCAGATGGGACAAGTTGAGGTCACCTGCTCGACATGAAGGCTAAAGCTTCCTGCTAATATTTGTACAGGAGGCTTTAAATTTTTTTTGCCTTGATATATAATCTTATGGAGACAGTAGACTAAGTTTTGGGTGAGGGACCAAGGAGAAACTAATCATTTGGGGGTATCTTAACAGTTATCTACCTGGACAAAATATCTAGAGCATTTCCAATTAGGTTTTCCAGCATGTTGTTTTTATGCTTTGTGACCACGGAGAGCTCCCCGCCAGTGGAGGCAGGACCTAGAAGGCAACATATTTGTCCTAGATACTTAGGGGAAGAGAAGTCCTTCATCACAGATAATTTAGGATACTGGGAAGCAATAGTAGCTTCTGTGGAGAGTTGACAGGGAGATGGGAATGAAGAAGCGAGAAGAGCTATTGTACCCAGCTCTTTCAAGAAGCTTGGCTGTTGCAGGGGGGAGAGAAGCCGCGGAGTTGGGGTGGGGTGGGGTATTTGAAGTTAAGAAAGACCTTTTTGTTTGCCTTAAATGGGCCGTCTAAGTTATTAGACCATGCTTCTGCTTTTATCCCACTTTCATCCGCAGACTTAGTGATGGGAAGTGTAGCGGCAGCTACTTGGTCAGACTGGGGATGGGAAGGGTAGTCGAAGTTACATCCTGAGTGCAATTTGTGACCTGCAAGCAGACCCTCACCCCATAATTTTCATGTGTGTGTAGAAGAATGAAAATGCTATTACTTCGTTAAAAATAACTGTGACTGCTAGGCAATAAAAAAGACAAGGAGATCCTAACTGCGATCAACACATGGGCAACAACGGGACGTATGCACCTGAGCCTGTGCGTGTGCCTCGGGCTCATGCTCAGTGGAGTTTGGCAGGTGTGAGCCTGCAACAGCCACCATTTTCTGCAGCTCTGACCGCGATGTCCGTCGTGAAATAACGACAATCAGTAAAAAAAAAAAAAAAAATAGCTGTCCTGGGCATGCTCAGCTTTGGCAGGGCTTTTTCTGGGCTTTGCCCATGTTAGCCAGCAGATAGCAAGCAAGGATCACCTGTTGGGCGTCCTCAGAAGCCTTTTGGTTTTCATGGCCCTTCCCCCCAGCATTGCAGGGTCATCAGTCTATTTGAGAATGTAGCAAGCCCTGATGATTCTCTTCCCACTCCTTTGCCCCGCTACCCGCTCCCCCCCTCGCCCCCAGCCAGCCAAAGCAGGACTTCCCTGTAGCTCAAACAGTAAAGAATCTACCTGTGATGCAGGAGACCAGAGTTCCATCTGTGGGTCAGGAAGATCCTCTGGAGAAAGGAATGGCAATCCACTCCAGTATTCTTGCCTGGAGAATTCCATAGACAGAGAAGCCTGGTGGGCTACAGTTCATGGGGTCGCAAGGAGTCAGATATGACTGAGCTGCTAACACACACAGCCAGCCAAAGCAGCTGAGGGAAGAAACCTCTTGCCAGAAACCCTGCTGGATTTTTGTGCACAGGCATTTTGAGCACCCCAGCCTGGGGAGAAGACAGGATGGCTTGGGACTTTTTAAGCAGGACAGGTGAACTGGGACTGGGGAAATTTGGAGAAAGGAGTGATGGCAACAGGATGAAGGGGACAGAAATGCCCCTGTTTCCAGCTAAGAGAGGTCTTTGTCTTTTAAAACATCATTTAGGTCATCAGTAGTCATTTCCAGTAGTCATGTATGGATGTGAACGTTGGACTATACAGAAAGTTGAGTGCTGAAGAGTTGATGCTTTGAACTGTGGTGCTGGAGAAGACTCTTGGACTGCAAGGAGATCAAACCAGTCCATCCTAAAGGAAATCAGCCCTGAATGTTCATTGGAAGGACTGATGCTGAAGCTGAAACTCCAATACTTTGGCCACCTGATAAGATAAACTGACTCATTGGAAAACACCCTGATGCTGGGAAAGATTGAAGGCAGGAGGAGAAGGGGATGACAGAGGATGAGATGGTTGAATGGCATCACTGACTTTATGAACATGAGTTTGAGTAAGCTCCAGGAGTTGGTGATGAACAGGGAAACCTGGTGTGCTGCAGTCCATGGGGTCACAAAGAGTCAGACACAAATGAGCGACTGAACTGAACTGAAGTCATCAGGTGTTTTGGGGGACTGTGTTTGCGATGGGAGGGGAGCAGTGGTGCTGGGGTCCTCCTGAGGCGGACATGAATGCTCCCTGAGGTGGGGGCCATGCCAGGCTCTTCTGTGCCCCGCAATCCTACCTCCCCAGGAGAGGAGCCTGCTATGGTCTCAGGAGGGGATATGGGTGTGCAGTGGATGACCAAGGATTCATTCTTCCTCAGCACCTTGGTTGTTTTTGAGAAGGATGTGGTCACCAACGTGGGAGAGACATGTCAGGGGAGGCCTGGAGTCCTGCAAGATAATCAACAAGACCCAGCCGTACCCACCCAACAGAGCACAGACCCCAGTACCTCAGAGCAGAGCAGCCCCAGAAATCCTGAACAGTGCCTGGAAGTGGACAGCCTGGCCAACAGGTAAGGGCTACTCTGTGCCAGGCTCCTGCTAGCCTGCCCGACTGGAGTTTTGTCAGGGGCCACACCCCAAAGCAAATCCTAACACACTAGTCATGCCCGTTACCTTCTGCAGGTATGATTGGCTAGGAGTCCTTGTGAAGCTGACCAGCAATGAGCATCCCAGGGGTAGGTCTCTGTTGGCTTGAGTTTGAAGCCACAGCATCAAATCTGTTACACGAAGCATGACAGACGTTTGGAGCTTGAAGACCTGGGTTGGCAGAGGAATATAGAGTGCCTTTGCCACTTGTGGGGGTGGAAGATTTCTGAGGAAAGTGTGCTACAATGCGAATAAATTCTTCCATTGCCACAGCCACCAGGATGGCCTTGCACGGCAGCATATCCATGTTCCTTAGCTCCCCCAAGATCTTTCCCCAGAGTGGCCACAAGTTTGGGAAATGATATACAAATGGACTTCCCTGGTAGCTCAGATGGTAAAGAATCTGCCTGCAGCATAAGTGACTTAGGTGCAATCCCTGGGTCGGGAAGATCCCCTGGAGAAGGGAATGGCAACCCACTCCAGTATTCTTGCCTGGGGTATTCCATGGACAGAAGAACCTAAATACTCCATGTGAGCCAGCTGCGGGTAGCAAACAAAATGACCAGCCCTCTATCCCCACCCTCATGAAGCATACAGTGAACCAATGACCAACTACTACAGCAGTTACACCACAGTAATAACCGTTAGCATTTGCTTCGAGCTGAGAATGTGCAGGCATCCTTCGGATGCTTTATGTGTACTCACTTAATTCTCACACCAACCATATGGGAAAAGTACTATTATTATCTGTTCTATAGATAAGAAACTGAGGCAGAGGTAGGTTGAATAGCTGGCCAGTAGTTGTCCAACCAGACAGTGGCCTAATAGGGATTAAAACACAGTCAGCCCAGGGCCTGTGTTGCTAATCACCATGTCATATCTGCAGCCTCTCCATTCTTGATAAACTGGCTCATCTTATCCTGCAGGTCTCCTTGATGCTTCAGCTCTTTTGTCACCTGAACTATTGTGTTAGGTGTGGATAAATGGATGCCAGCCACTTGTTAGCTGCTTAGTCAGAAATGGATGCTGTTTTCTTCCTCTTGTACTCAGTCTTCTTTTCACTGTCTGGTTCTGTACTTTATCCCCCCACCTGTCTTTCCATGTTCCCACGGGGCTTCTCCTCCCAGCCAGTCCACTTCCTCCAGTCTCCATGGTGCATTCCTGTGTGCTAGAGTGATATAGGACTAGCACAGGGTAACTGGGCACACTGAGGCAGGGAACCTCACCCAGCCTGGGGTGAGAAGGCAGGTACCCTGGAAGGGCTTCCCAGAGGAGAAGGTGGTGTCGTGTGCAAATGTACCAGAGAGGTCAGATGCACATGACATAGTCCCTAAAGATGGGGCTTGGGAGCTGGGCAGGTGCCAGATTATGATTGTTCTCTACAATCCCCACTCTTAGACTAGTTGAAGTCCTGTGCACTGGATTCTCTGGCAAGGGGGTGGTAGCCCAGAGGCTAGGGCAGGTGGATGAAGCCACACTCAGGACATTATCTGAGTGGCACCATGTTGGAGAGAAGCCAGAGTTAACCCAGGGCAGTGTGTTCCTGTAAAGCTGGGCTGAAGATGTTAGACAGGGAGTTGACATGAGGTGATGGCACAAATGGGGAAGGCTCAGGGATGGAACCTAAAAGAATTCCCTGAATAGGCAGGCAGCTGCAGCAGCCTTTGGTATGGGACTGCTGATCCAGGAGCAGGCAGAATAAAAGCAAGTAATGGCCTGGCCAGAAAAACACCTTGTGAGCTGGCTAGGGGGTCCAATTCCAGGCCAAGGGTTGTGTGTTACACCAAAGGGTTGAGATTTAGAAAAACCATTATACCCATAAGTTTTCTTCCTCTTCTTATGGCAGGTGACTTCCAGAATGAGGTCCATCCACATCTCTTCCTTGGTGATGCCTAAATTAATTTGTCCCTCTCTTCCTCACCTTTGTATTCTCCAGAGACTTCACTGGAGGAAGGGGGCAGGGAGCTCATTCCAGGAAGGGGCTGAGTCTGTCAAGTTCGTGATAGCCCTATAGCCATGCTATAACCAAGTGAGTCACAGGCCAAGGCCCTTGGCTGCAGGAGTAGTTATGGGCACATGCTGGAAGGTTGGGGTCTTGCCTCTGACTTACAAAATGAGTGCTTCTACCCATTGATCTCAGGAGCCTTAAAGAACAGAAGCTCAAGTGATCTTCAGTGATCTTCAAGGTTTGTTTTAAAAACGCTGGCATTCTTTTAAACTCCTTGACATGGCAGTTTTGGCATTAGCCCCTGATAACCCCGTGTGACTCTGCAGCACATCAGTTCTCAATGTTGAAATACTTGCCCCTCCCTCCACTTCTTTCAGGATGAGAAACCCCTCGGGCTGTATGGTCTCTGTTCCCAGGCCTGCCCCTTCTGAGCAGCATCCTATTCACATGCCAGCCTCCCCAAGTGAACTGGAGCCCAACTCAAACAGGTAAGAAGAGACCATCTGGGAGGTGTTCTTTGGGCTATTCCCTGGAGCTAAAGGACTCAGGTTTTGTCTCATGCTACTTCCTTGACATTAGTTCTAGTGCCTACTGCAATTCCCAGCAGCCTGTTGGTCAAGGGGCCACAAAGTGTGGCCCAGGTTCCCCTAGTATAAACTCCTGTGTGGAGGCCTGAACGGAGTCTCCCAGTGAGAAGCTGATGTGCCACTTTCTAGGGCTCTGCTACCCTTTGGACCTTGCTAGTGTCTCTTGGGGAACATGCTTGAAAAGGCCAAAGAAATACCTCTGAGGCCAGGGCCTATTTCATCTGTCTCTGTCAAGTTATCTGTTGTGAGAAGAGGCACATACCTACTGCCTCACCTCTGCTCCTGGCCCCCATGCCATGTTAGAGTTCAGGAAGGGAGTCACTGCAAGGAGGCTGAGTGAGGGGTGTGTGTGTGTGTGTGTGTGTGTGTGTGTGTGTGTGTGTGTGTGTGTGTGTGTAGGAGAGGTCAGAGGAGCCTCTACTGCTATCAAGCCAGCAGGCTGGAGTGCAGAGCATGGAAATGGGGCCAAATGTGGGTCATTATGAGTCTATCATGAAGTAGACCTTGTTTCCGATAATGCCAGTGGCTTGTCCAGGGTGAGGCAACTTCTCGACCTCTGGAACTCTGTGAGTGAGAAGGGAGAGAAAGGAGAGATTAGATTGCAGGTGGAGATTTGAAAATCTAGGATTGAGACTTATAGGCAACCTCGGTCCCAGACAAAGGGGAAACAAAATGTGGTGAGAGAGGAGGATAGAAAGTCCACTGGACTGAAGTCTCAAGAGGGTAGTGTACCACCACTGGCTGTAGGGAGCCTCTTTCTAGCGCTATCAAATCTGCATACAGCCAGCAATACCCATGAGCTTTGCTTTCAGCCCAAGTCCACTAAATGGAGGTTCTCCCTGCCCTGGACCCCTGCTTTAGATCAGGCCCAGTCCCCTGGAATCTTCCAGTATACCTATTTCTGTTCTGTTATGCTTTTTCTACAGCAAAGGGATTCTCTTTGTGAAGGAGTATGTGAATGCTGGTGAGGTATCTTCCAGGAAGCCACTGTCTTCATTCTATGGCAGGTAAGAAGTCCCAGATCTTTCATATCATGGCCTTCTCCTGCCAGGCCCTGTGTTGTTCTCATTCCTGCATCCCCAGTACCTCACTAAGTACATGGCCCGAGTACCTTCATTTATTGTATAGGTGGATGATTTAATCGCCCATGGATAAGATATACCTTTCCAGCTCTTCTACCTAACTTGATGTCTTGTGCTCTCCTTTTATCATTACTTCATACTATGCTCCACTTCCAGCCTCATCCATTTCTACCTGTCTTTCTCAGTAGACTACAAGCTTTCTTTTTGTGAAATCCTGAGAGAATCACTCTTGATAGAGCTGTTGAGGCCCTTAAGAACTGTCTAGTTAATTCCATCCTTCCAGAACTCAGAGCTCCTCTCTTCAGATCCCATGCTCCTTCCAGCATGCCATTTTGCTTCATTTGAACACACATTTGACTGTGTGTGTTCACACAGATACATGCATAACTTTCCACTCTTCTCTTTGCTTGCTTCCTGATGCTGTACTGAAGTCTATCTCTGTGCCACCTCAGCTAAAAACTAACCCACACTGAAACAGTGTTCTCCTGGGAATTTTTAAAAATGACACATCCCCTCACTTCTGGGGTTAGGATTTTAGTAACAGAAAGGAACATCCTGGCCTTATTTCAGGATTTGGCCTCTGGGAATCCCAGGCCAGTTTTCACTGCTTCTGTGGAATGATGAGCATGGGCATGAGGATCAAGTTCAAGTACACTCAACCCTCATTTGTTGGGTCATTTTGGGCAAGATGGTCACAGTTTCTTCATTTGTAACTCCTTAGAATAATTTTTCCCCAGTAGCTTTTTTGAAATATAATTCATATCTCATAAAATTCACTCTTTAAAGTGTACAGCCCAGTCATTTTTGGTACATCCACAATGTTGTGAGATCATCACAGCTATCCAATTCCAGAAATTTTTATCACCCAAAAAGGGAACTGCACACCCATTAGCAGCTCTCCCCTTCCCCCGCCTGACACACACACCACCAGCCACAGCCCTTGGCCACCACTATTTTCTGTCTCTATAGACTTTTCAGGGAGGTTTTGATATGAGAAATACTGTTATGAGAGAACTACTGTTTACTGTTATAAACCTCCAGCACCCTCAAGAGAGCTATCTTTGCCTCTATGAACACTGTCTATGAATCTGGTATTTCTTCTTCAAGTCCCACCAGTACTTTGTTTAATTGGACACTTAGAATTGTGTAGCTCAGTGTGTTTTCCCCTTTTGCTTTACATTCCAGGAGGTTTAGAAATAAGCTTAGTGCTCAAAAGAAATCAGAAGCTCAAAAGAAATCAGGACTGAAATTCTAGCTCACTTCTTTTACTGCAAGCATGACCATAGCCAGGTCACTTACCTCAGGAGGTCATCGCACAGCTCCTATGAGAATGGAAGCTTCACCAAAGCATGTCCTAGAGCTCGTAGCTAGTTTTTCTTCCTTGGAAATAATTTTTACTCATTAGTTTTTATGTAAGAAGTCATATTATTGAAAAATAAAGACATACAAAGGAAAAAAAAAGTCACCCTGAATCGCACTCTGTAACTCAAGCACAGGTATTATGTTGGAATGTTTCCTTCTTTTTTTGTTCCTATTCTTAGTGTCTGATTTCTGCTCTGAGTGGGCTTCTGGTGACTGTCACATTATAACCCAGGCACATATGTGGGGAGAAAAGCCATGGTCCTTTCCCCCTGGTCAGTGAAAGTGACAGTTCTCCTGGTATGCACAGCCTCCAGAATCCTAGCCACACACTTGTCATCTTCCTCACCATGGCAGGTCTTCTTTGCCCCCAATGCAAGGGATCTTCTCTGCAGGAATTATGCCTTGGTGGCACCCAGTTTAAAGCTTCCCCTACCATTTAGCATAACAGATGATGGCAAGCCAGGCAGTCACGTCTCAGCTTGTAGCCACAGGGTTAATCAGAAAAGCATTCTCCACTAATGACTGCAGTAGTGATCTGCCTCCCAGTTTTTGCCCTCCTCTCTCCCGTCACACTCCCTGCAGCACAGGCGGCAATGAGGACTCCTGCAGCGTGGAGAAGAAACTCTCATATGATGGTACTCTGTACTCTGAGAGGTAAGTCTGCTGTGTTACCGGGGAGCACACAGGTCTACGGACGAGAAGCAGCTGAGGGAGATGTAGCCGTTAAGTCCATTTGCTTTTGTCTACTGCTTTGCTACTTCTGATCCATTTCCAGATGTGATGTGTCACACCACAGCATAGGGCATGCTTCCCTCATCCAGATGTCACACTTGTGGCAACCAAAGCCTTTGAATCCAGCTAAGACCAGAAGGCAAACACAGTGAATCAGTGACAGAGCTAGGATGAACCCCAGGGCCCTGACTGCTCTGCCATCTAACTGTGAGCTGGAACTGGCAGTGGTAAAATACAAGGGAGGAGCAGCGCTGTGACGAGGGCAGGTGTCTTTTTAGCAACAGTGTCAAGAAACTGAGCCCTGGGCCAGCAGCAGGGCAGACAAGGATGTTCAGCAAGTTCTGTTTGAGGGGGAAAAGCAGGGGTGACTCCAGGAACAAAGGCAGAAATCCTGGAACTGGGGAGATACTCAGTCTACAAGTCGGTATCTAGGACTTCAGTATGAGGTCCCAGCAGGCTCCACAGCCACACTCACTTTGTGATAGTCCTTGGGTCCTTGCTGTCTCTATGATATTCCAGGCAGGACCCAGTAGTCCCAGGCATGAAGAGAAGGGCCATCAAGACAGGGAGCTGGGTAGGGCATATAAGGGCATGTCTCCTGTAGGAGAAGACATGGGTCTTCCTGTTCTAGAGGGGAAAAGCCTACCATGCAGATATGTTTGGCAGGGGGACAGGGAGAAGCAAGCTGCCTTAAATAAGAATCACATTGCAGTGTCCACATGTATGATAGAGAGTAGGGTGAAGATGTATGACTGGCTTCTGGAAACAGTGTGAGGGTCTACAATGGGCTGAGGTCCAGTGTGGCCCAAGGCTATATATGGCCAGTTGCACACCACAGGTAAAGATGTCAGGCCGCCTGCATCAAAGCACAGAATCTGCCTGTACCACATCACAGAAGTCTTCATACCAGCCTGACCATGGATTCTTCTTTGTCATTTTCCAGAACAAGTGGAGGGATCTGTACTTACTGCAACCGGGAGATCCGAGACTGTCCAAAGATCACCCTAGAACACCTTGGCATCTGCTGCCATGACTATTGCTTTAAGGTAAGAAAGAGGGGTGGTGTTGCCAAACATCATCCAGAGCTGGGGATTCCTTTTGGGTTCAGGGAGTGTGGAGAAGGCTTGATTTCTGTATGCTCATGCTCCATCTTGAAGGCTTTGCAGAAGTGGGAGCTGTGTGAGCTCTCAAGTCTAAAGGAGTTAATGAGTGTTGGCAATTCTATGTGCTTAATACTGTGAGGGAAACAAAAGCAGTCTTATGGGGAAAGACTATTCCCAACAGAGGGCCAACAAATGCAAAGGCCTTGGGGCAGGAGCATGGAGTATTTTAGCTCACATGGCCTGAATAGCATGAGTGAGAGATTAGTGGTAGGAGATGAAGTCACAAGGATGCCGAAGAACTGGGTCATGTAGGTGTTGGAGAACACAGAGAGACTTTAGATTTCATTCTAAATGAAGCTGGAACCTACTAGAGGGTTTGGGTGGTAGAAACACAAGGTCTGACTGAAGCTAGAGAAAATAAAACAGTCACTTGGTTAGGGAGTTGGCATGGCAGATGTCAAGATGGTGGCTGGATTGGGGATACTGTTTGAAACTAGAGCTGGCAGTCTGTGGCGTGTGAAAAAATGTGAGGAGTCAAAGGACACTCCAAAGTTTGGGGCCCAGCCATTACCTGAAATGATGGTGGTGCCTTTACTGAGAAGGGAAATATTGGAGGGGAGCAGGTTTGAGCAAAGGGGAGGTGTAGATGAGTGAAATTTCAGGGAGAGCTACATGGGGAGTGCCTGTGGTCATATGGATATGTGTGTTTGTGTTCCAGGGAAAGGCCAGGGCTGATGAAATCATCTAGGGTGTGAATAGGTGGGGATGGGGGCTGACGCTGAGCCTTGTGTCTTTCTAGCGTTTAGAGGTTGGGAAGAGGAGGGGGTCTACAGAGGAGGATGAGAAGTAACACAGAATGTAATGCCCCAAGTGACGCAGTTTCTCCAGAGAGTCCAGTGGTCACCAGTGTCAGTGGTTGCTGAGAGATCAAATGGGATGAAGCCTGAGGACTGTGCTTGAAATTTGCAGCATGGTGGTCACTGACCTCAGTTGGCACAGTTTTGGTGGAGTGATAGGGATAGAAGCCTGACTGAGGTGGGCTCATGTGGGAATGGACAGAGTCACTCTGAAACACTTTCCTGATGGGTTGACTTTATAAGGGAGCAGTGCAAGTGGACAGTGGGGCAGAGGTGCCAAGCATGGGTTTATGCTGATGGGAATGGTAAGGGTAGCAAGCAGACACTGATGATGCAGGAGAAACGGATGCTGATGGTGATCCTGATGTACATCTGGAGGAGAGAAAGATGGGTCCCAGTGAACACATGTCAGGGACAGAAAAGGCTGAATCTGTGGGTCACTATGGAGAGGTTCCCAGGTTGGTGGGTAGAAGAATGAGGAACTTCTTCAGTAGTTGCCTGTTTTTCTCAGTGAATGAGAAAACAGGATTACCTTTGAGGAGTGGGGAGGAGTGTTGGACACTTGAAAAGAAATGGGAGGATTTGAAAATTGTCTCAGAGACAAGGAGGGTGGATGGGCCCTGCAGAGCCTGCTTGAAGGGAGGACTCATGCATTCCTTTGGAGACCAGTTAGCATGTAGTGTGTTGTTCCCTAGCCAGGCTCAGCCACAGAGATGAAACAGGGACGCTAGCATTTACTGGGGCAGAGGTTATACCAGGTTTAGCACGATTTAGTCTGTGCTCAAGCAACAATAACAGTGAGGCAATGGCAGAGACTATCCAAGTGAGTTGGAGGACATGGAAGTCAAGGAGAGGGGCGAATGACTTATTGGTTATGATGAGGTCTAGAGCAGCAGTTCTCACACTGGAGCATGTGATTCACACTTCATTATCCCCTGAAGGGCTTCTTAAGACAGACTGCTGGGCCCCAGCAAGGTTTCTACTCAGTGCGTCTGGGTGGGACCTGAGAATTGGCTTGTCTAAGAAGTCCAGACAATGCTGAGGCTGCTGGTCCACAGAGTCTGGCCAGGGCAGTGGCTGAGGGAGAGAGGGGCCCAGGACATCGGAGGAAAGGAAAAAAATGCTAGGTGGTTGGAAGCTCTTCCATCTGCACGGATGCAGAATTGATTCCGGAGTAGAGGTGCAGGGAGAGACTGTGACATGTGGTTTGGCAAAAACATTATTTTCCTGATTCCTGGACTTACGTGAAAAGTTATTAAAAAACTGTTATCAACAATTAAATACCAATAAATTGGATAACTGGGAAGAAATGGATGCATTCCTAGAAACATAAAACATACTAAGATGGAACCAAGAAGGAATTGAAAGCTTGGAGAGACCAATAATAAATAGATTGAATCAGCAACCAAGCACCCCTCAACAAAGAAAAACTCAGGGCCAGGTCTTCGCAGGCAATTCTAACAAATATTTAAAGAAAAAATAATACCAATCCTTCTTAAACTCTTCCAAAAATAGAAGAAAGAACATTACCAAACTCATTTTATGAAGCCAGCATTATCCTGACACCAAGTCAAGCATACTATTAGAAATAGGGCTATGCTATGATCCAGCAATCCTACTTCTATGGATATACACAAAGGAATTGAAATCAGTATCTTAAAGCAGTCTCTGCACTGTCTGTTCACTGCAGCATTGTCAATGATAGTCAAAACATGGAAGAAATCTAAATGTGCAGTGACTGATGGATAAAGAAAATGTGATATATACATTAAAATGGGATATGATCCAGCCTTTACAGACCGAAGGAAATCCTTTCATTTGCAGCAACATGGATGAAATTGTAGGACATTGTGCTAAGTGAAGTAAGCCAGACAGAGAATGGCAAACACTTCTTAGTACCACTTATACGAGGAATCTAAAATAGCAAAATCCTTAGAAGAGAGTAGAACGGTGGTTACTGGGAGCTTGGAGAGGAGGTGAAATGGGGAGGTGATGGTCAAAGGATAGGGTGTCAGGTACGCAAGATGGGTTAGTTCTAGAGATCTACATGGCACAGTGTCTGTAGTTAGTAATACCATATTATATAATTAGAACTTGGCTAACAGAGGAAAAGAATGTTAAGTAAAAAATCCTAGAGTACTTTTTCAACTTTTATTTATATACCCTAGTCACAGAGCACTCCTGTTAAACACAAAGCAGAATTACCTAAGCAACTCTTGGCACATTTGGTCCCACAGAGCCCAGTGTTGGAGAAAAGGTACAGTTGGAGTGGGTAGGCATCCAGGGAAGGCTTTGTGAGGGAAGTGGGTCTGGAGTCAGAGATGAAGACGTGTCCAGGGGTATTTGCCAGGTATTTCCAGGGATAAACAGGTGTCCATCATGCCTGCAGAGGGAATGAGAAAGAAGAGGCCAGCAGGAGGCTGGCAGGCATGGGAGGAGGAGGCCCACAGTGGCAGGAATTTTAAACTTGCCTGACTGGGTTGCACACAGGGCAGGGAAACAGAATTGTGGCAAAACAGTGAGACCTGGTATTCTTGGGAAATTCCTAGAATGTGGGCAGGGTGCCTGAGATCCACCCCTGGGGGCCGTGAGCACAGAGGTGGAAAGGATATCACTTTCACAAGATCACAGAGCTGCTCAGAACTGAAGGTCAAAATCCCAGCTACAATATCAGAGTGAATGTTGTCCAAGCTGTACTCTGCAGCCTCCCAGGAAATGCCATTCCATTGCTCAGGTTCATCTGTATAAATTCACCTGTCACTGTCCTTTATCGGAGGTTTATCTTACCTCTGTTAGATTGACATAACATTTAAAAACACTGGTTTGTATTGTTATGTTTCAGAATAAAGAGAGGACACTTAATGTCCAAAGCATCATAACAGCCTCTTAGGCTCCTTGTTCTCCACAGTGCGAAGCATGTTGCAAGTCGGGGCTGTTGATTTTTTTTTTTTTTTTCTGTTAGGAGAGGTTATCCTCTAAATACATCACCACCACTAGTTGGCTAAGTTGAGGTTCAAGCCCTGGCCTGCAGTAACTAAAATGACAGAGGGCTCATACAGTGAAAAAATGGCCAGGAGACAGGAATTGAAAGGTAGAAGAAGAAAGACGTCAGAGAGGTGCTGGATGAGAATGAGCAGAGGGACTTAGGGATCCTAGCAGCTGATCTCCACTACTTTCAGCTGGAAGCAGAAGGCTTGTCCAGGGTGTGCCTTGAGACAGCTGGAGTCCCAGACATATGGGGATTCTTGGTCTCCTCTTATTTGAGACTGTATGCAGGCCCCTCTGCTCTAACCTCTCATACCAAGAGGGTCTGCAGCAGATGGATAGTCATTTCATCCTTTAGAAGTTGGTTGGAGAGTCAGGCCAGAGGGGCTGGACTGCTGAAATCACCTTCCCTTTCATTGCGCTTTCATATCACCTTTCTTTCACTTTCAACATCACAATTAAGGCTCTCTGATAAATGAGGGAAAAGAGCCTCAGTAACTCACCCAAGCTCAGTCAGCTAAGGAGCAGTAGATTTAGGGCTCAAACTCAGGCCCAATTCTGAAACCTGGGCTCCTAACGACTGTGTGGTCATTCTGCCTGTTAGTTTTTGTTTTACTGTTGCTTTTGGTTTTGTTTGGGCTTTGTCTCTGTTTATGCCAGTTTTAAATTGTCTGCTTCAAAGTCCAGGATGTGGCATCAGCTTGGTGCCTGCCCACTCCACTCATTTAGATTGCTGCACTTATATGTTGACCTCTAGCTTGTTTTCTCTTTCAGTGTGGGATTTGCAGTAAACCAATGGGTGAGCTTCTGGATCAGATCTTCATTCACCGTGATACCATCCACTGTGGGAAATGCTATGAGAAGCTGTTCTAGGTGGGTGCTGCCAAGCAACAGGAAATTTACTAGGGGGAAGAAATGTGCCCTAGTGTCTCCCTGAGTCTTGACCTGAGGCACTGCTCTCTCTCCTAGCCTTTATGTTCAGGGGACCTGAGTTCTTGTGTCCCTATGCCCTGTGACACTTTGAAGTCTTAGGTGGTACAGATGAAGACCTTTCCCATGGACATTTCCAAGCTGCAGAAGCCACAGTCTCTTCCTCTCAAGGAGCACCTTCCATGCAGCAGCTCAGCTAAGCCCACTAACTGCCCTGCTAGGTCATTGGCCTATCTGGGGACAAGGAAGTAAAGACCTAAAAAGGAAAAGGACATGGAGAAACACTTAGCTTGTAGATGGCACAACCAGGGCCTCAACCCAGGACTTCAGATTCAGCTTCTCTGCCACAGTCCCCTGGGCTGTCTCCAGCATTGCTCAGAGAGCATTAGATCAGGACTCAACAGCCAAGATAGTCAGTAAAACAAGATATTTAGCTGGGGACCAGCAGCAGGTAAAGGCCAGGATAAGTGGGCATGTGTGGGAAGTGATGGTGCTGTCCTGGTGCTTGGGCAGCTTCTGGTCCATGTTGTCAACTCCGCTTGAACACAGGTTTGCATGCTAAAAACCAGTGGAACTGACCCTAGTGTCTGAGCTTCATGGGGCCTGGTGATCCTGGCAGCCCATCCTCCTTAGCACCTGTTCAACTAGAAGCACAGGACAGAGTATCTCCCTTGAAGGCAATGGGAATGGGTAGCAACCAGGCCCTCCACCACCTACGAGCCTGTTCTACCTTTTCTCCAGAAGACACATTGATCTGGACTATCACTTCCCATGCCTGGAGTAGTCGCCCTCCCCAAGAGTCTCTGACTGCTCATTGGATTGGGTGTGTGTTTCCAATCTCATGGATACTTCTATTTTCTTTTACTTCCTTCAGGCTGAGAAGAAAGTGATGACTCCTGGACAAGTTTGACTATCCCCAGTTGCCCCAAGTTGCTGGCTCTTCTTCCCTCACTTCCTCCCTCATGCTTGTGATTTGTTCATGTTTTTGCCATTCTTAAGTTGAACTTGCTTACATCCAGTAGCATATCTTGATGATGTTATGATAATCCCTTGTGTGTGTACCTTTTTATAGATGAAAAAGCACTTCCCATCCACGATCTTACTTCAGGTTCAAGCAAAGAGTGTTGAACCATAATTCCCTTTTGACTTCCCTAAGACCAGTCAGCTTCCTGATGAGTTTAGGTGGCCTAAGTGTGCCTTTGGGACTTGAAAGCAGAAGGAGACCCCCCTGAAGCTTCTTAGGGGCCGGGTTAAAGAATGCCAATGATCCCTGGTGGGTAAATTGAAGACACTGAATGCTAGGGATCGACATAGGCTAATGTTTAACTTGTCTATTTACCATATATATTTTTTGGACTCTCCATATCCTTTTACAACTAGTTCGTTGCTTTCAATTGAGTTTCATAGCAGATTTTAGTTACCTCCTCCTACCTACCTTTCAGTATAGCTGAGTTCTTCCCCGCAGGCATGTGGGCATGTATTAGAAAGTTTACACATTAGGTTTAAATTCTCTATGATGTAATTCTGAAGAGGCTACTGACCAAATGGACATCTGTGTCTGAATTTTGATAGCTGATTGATACCTTTGACCTCAATTTCCAACCCCTAAACTTTACACAGGGATCCCCTAAAGTAGGTCTTAGAGTGTATAGACTCCAGTAAGATTATGAAGGGAGGAAATCAGCTAGCATTCTTGAGGTCTTACTACATAGCAGGCATTATAACAGAGTGATGGCATTAATCCCCATTCTAGTTTTGTGAATAGGGTATTCTTCTCCCCAGTTTGCAAATGAGGATATTGAGGCTCAGATAAGCGGTCAGAACCATTGCTGTGTCTCTCCAGTAACTGTAACCACAGTCCTGAGCCTGTGTGGAGGTTAACCTAGTCCTCCTGGGGAATCTGCCCCCCTCAGACCTTCCCTGAGGCACACTTTTACAAAGAGAGGCACGTGGGAAATTGCACTCCTCTTCTGGGCATCCTGGGTAAAATACAAGAAGAGCCAAACTGGCCCCCCTCACCCCCCTTTTCCATGAAAACACTTCTGAACTGAAATACTCTTAGCTGGGAAGAGATTTTACTCACAGATCTTCCCAAAGAAGAGCTTGTCGACCCAGGGGAAGCTCCAGTGGGCTAGCTGATCTGAGCACAGGGCCCTCAGTGACGTCCCATTTTCCAGTCCAGACAGATCCCAAGCTAGCAGCAACTACCAAGACCCCAGGAACTTGGAACAGGGACTCCTATTGGCCTGCTGGACAGATGTAGGCCCATGCAACTGGGCTCCTCCACCTTTGGTACCAGGATTACTGTGTAAATCAGGCTTCCCTGGTGGCTCAGTTGGCAAAAAAACTGCCTGCAATACAGGAGACCCTGTTTCGATTCCTGGGTCAGGAAGATCCACTGGAGAAGGGATAGGCCACACACTCCAGTGGGGAAGCTTGAGCTTCCCCTGTGGCTCAGCTGGTAAAGAATCTGCCTGCAATGCGGGAGACCTGGGTTTGATCCCCGGGTTGGGAAGATCCCCTGGGCAAGGGAAAGGCTACCCACTCCATTATTCTGGCCAAGAGAATTCCATGGACTGTGTAGTCCATGGGGTCACAAAGAGTAGGATGCGGCTGAGCGACTTTCACTTTCATTGTGTAAGTTCTGCAAAAGGACAAACTGACAGTTTCTCTGATTAAAAATGAGGGCCTTTTCTCTTGATTTCGAAGAGTTTGGGCTGCCTTTCTGAGTGTCTGGTGTCCTCTGCTAGCATTCAGAAGTTGTTTTGTGGATGTTGCTCCACATTCAAATAACATTTTTTTTTTTTGATGAGCCTATGGGGGAGAAAGTGGTCTCCCCGTCCTATTCTTCCACCATTTTGGGACCACCCCTTCTCTTGATTTAATTAGAAAATGTCTCTCCATCTCTGTCGAGTTTCTGAGCCTTGTGCACACTGGATGGTGGACTTGTTCTTGCAAAATGATCAGAGAAGAACATTCCATTTATTTACATGGATGTGCATCAGATTTGCTCTAGATGGGAAAATTGGCACAGCATGCCATGTACTTATACAAAATATGAGCTGGTTTTCCTCAAGACTATCCCTCAGCCTGGGACTTGGCACATGGTAGGGATTGACACATCGATGCTGAATGAATTAGTGAAAGGGAAAGAGGTCCAAGATAGGCTGGCTTCCCCACCTTCAAGATACACTCTGCCTTTAAGGGAGTTTTAGAACCAGTGTGCAAGATACTGATTTTAATCTGAAAAAATCTCTTTCATGGCTGAAATGGCTCACAATTCTGCAGACTTAAGGAAGAGAGGTGGTTGCATTACACTTTGCTTCTTTTTAACTGCCTAGAATTTTTAATCATACTTGCTTGACTCACAGTAATGTACACAAACATAATAAATGGTGAGATACTTCATGTGTAAATGTTAAGGTTTCCTTTTTTAAATGTAATAACTTGGTGCATTTGGCTGTGTGATTAATTTTCACCTATTACTTGAAGCCATTCTCTTTACAAAATCAAATAAATACTTTTAAGAAGTACCAAATATAAAGAGCTAAAAAAAACCCAGCATTATCTAGAAACTATACATGCACTAGAGGTGTGCAATTCTAGACCTGTCAGATCTTTTTTTAAAAAATTTAGTTTTATTGGAGTGTAGTTGCTTTACAGTGTTGTGTTAGTTTGTGTTGTACAGCAAAGTGAATCAGCTATTCATATGTATATATCCCCCCCTCCCTTTTGGAGTTCCTTCCTATTCAATAGACCTGTCAGATTTTTTTTTTAGACCTGTCAGATCTTAATGAGTAATGTTTTATTCTTTTGGGCCCATCCTTTCATTGCTGATAGGTGGCTGCTTCGTCCTTATTGAGCACTTGCAATGACCAGGAGCACAGTCCCTTACAAGCCCATTCTGTCTCTGGAAATGCATTCCTCAGTTGAGTTACAACCTGTTCCCTTTAACTATCATCCACTGATAATCTATAATCCCTCTCTTGTATGCTAGTTCCTAAAATACATAAATATGCTTATTGGATTCTTCCTCTGTCAACTCTTCCCATTTAGCACTCCTGTTCCCATCAACTCTGGCAGTAATTCTGAATAGACATCTCTCAAACACCCTCCTCAAAGGTGCCCCCTCAACCACACATCCCAACCCATTCCTCCAGATGTGTACCAACAGGAAAGACTTTTCATCTTGTTCATTAGGGATAGTGGCCCAGGCTGTCAGAATCCTGTTGAACAGCCATTCTGTGTATCAGGTGATCCATGCTTCCAGGTTTTGTACCCGAAAATATAATTTACATGCCATCTATGTCTGATCCCACCTGGGGCCAAAAAGGGTTGATCAGGAAATCAGCCCAAAGATAGAAGACATGTCAGAGAAATCCTTCCACTACTGGGTAGGGACGTTGGAACCCAGTATTTCAGTTGATACTGAACTAGTATCCCTGTAGCTGCATTCTCACTGCACCCTCAGCCACCATCTTGGCTACATGAGTACCATTGGGAAATGAAGAAGATGCTTAACCAACTCAAAGGACAAGAACTATAACAATAGTTCCTAACCAGATATTTCTAGGAATCTATTGGTGATAGTATGTGATACAAACACCCCCACTCCACTCAAATAGGGTAGTGTTATTTTGAAAAATGACTTAGCAGAGCTGGTTCCCAGCAAGCCAGTTGATCACCATACTCATCCTCCACTATTCCTCCTTCCCCTCTACAGATCCACACCTATGAGGGACCTCAACCCATACACCCCACATGGGGTCCTCTGGGGGACTCTACTTATGAGTGTATTCCACCTGTGAATTTCCACAAAACACATTCCTCTTGTCCTGTTTTTCTGCACAATATCTTTTCCCCATGAATTTCCCAGTGGAGGAAATCTTCCACCAGGGGACCCAGCAGTGGTTATATTGAATTCGAAGTTGAGATTGCCACCC